CCAGAGTGGCCTAGGCTGGAGGGTGCTGAACCAGTTAAGTGCATACAGACGTACAGCCTCCAAACCATAGCTTGTATGCACAGATGGACCAGCTCTCAGGTGGATTAGATGTACCACCGCATCCTGGCGAGTGGAGCTCGGGAGGAGCTGGGGCAGGGGCAGCAGTTGATTTCATGACTAGTTCAATTGTGGAGTAGGGGAGAATGCAAAGTGAATGCTAACTTCTCCATGAGTAATGCAAAAAACTGGAATGGCACTCCTGCATTCTTCTGCGTGGTCCTCATCTGTGTTCAGTTCCCCCTGAAGTAATTTCTGACAGCGAGGGGATATTTTAAGGGCTAACTTTTCTGCTGAGGGAGACCAGCTGATTGGGCACAGGAAGTGGGAGAAGTGACAGAGTCGCTTAAGAGTGGCTTTAGGGAATTCTCCCTTTCTCTCTTGACTGTGGCTAGTCTCAGGGGATTAGCCAAATCCAATCCGGTGAGAGCACCCTCCCTCTGTGGTAGTAATCTTCATGAGTTGTGGCAAGCATTTTCAGGCTGTTCTGCAGGTCTCTTACAGTACCTTAAAAAGATGCGAGGAAAAAAGTGATTAACAGGGGCATGTGTGCTATGTGGACCACAGATCTGCGGTGGCAGGGAAGTATTGAATGGTTTAATGCAAAGGAACACTTGAGTTTGTGAAGCAAACTTGAACTCTAAAGGCTGCAATAGGTGTAAACAGTGCACGATGACAGATCTACTGTTAATAACATGGTAAAAAACTTCAGGTAAAAAAAAAATCCCGATAAAGCAGGGTATCATTGCACTTTTGTTCTTTCTGTTTATATATTCTACATAAAGATTTATAGTTTAACTGAATGTTATATGTAATTATTACCTTTTTCAAAGAAACTTAAATAATCTCATTTTAAAAATTAGTGGGAGGTCAACACAATATATGCTTTTACTGATCTGCCTCCACAACCTCAATGGTAATGCCAAAAACATCTTGTGATATTATAGCTTAGTAGGCAGAGAGGCATAACAATAGGGAGCAATGGCTATACAATTTTAATTTTGTAAAATTTGTTAATACAGTTTGCATGATCTTGGAATAACCCTTCTAGACTTTTCAGGTGAATTAGTTCTTCTCACCAATGTAGGTTTTTCCCATGTCCTGCTTTCTAGGAAATAAAAATCTGTATTAAAACTTTCCCAGATGGCAAGAGCCTTTCCCTAGCTGAAGCAAAGGAGCATCTAAGAGCGATACATTTGTCACATGGCTTAATGTCTCTCTCCAGTTTATTCCTACATCCTGTGGTCAAAAGTAATCACTTCTGTCTAGTCAGAAATCTGTTAGCTTCAGAAGCTTAAGGCATGCTGGGAGAAATAACTGTGTTATCACCACAATAGTCTTCCACTGGATCTGTTGATGCTGTGCTGACATTACTAAATTTCAGAGGATTCAGCTGGCAAGCAGAAAACAGTGTTTTTCTTGGTTTCATGTTGCATGGTGTAATTGGAGATCGCTGTTTCTATCTGTGACATCCATGTTTTCTGTAACACAAAAAAATAATTTGTAAACCAGGACAATCTAAAAAAGCTCCCGTAGTTCAGATACATAAACACTCAGAGCCTTTACTTTTATTTAGTGTTTCTTCATACCCATGCTCATAATTTCTGAAGTGAACATCAATTATCCTGGAACCAAGACTCTCACAGTTGCTCGGGCCACTACATGCTGCTGGAGTCTGTGTTTGAGGCCAGGGATTTCCAGTGGAGATTTCCTTTTTGGTTGAAAGGTGTGATTTTAATACTCTGTTTGCTGCAGGCTATTATTTCACCTCTTTGTGCGTAACATTTATTAATGTAATGCTGTCCCTGCAGTTTGGGCTCTCTGTTCCTGTGATTGAGGCAGCTCCAGTGCTATCAGCATCACAAGTTGTGTCCCCCTCTGAGATCTGTCATGTGCTACCACATGAATTTCAGTTTCTAACGTCACGCTGACAGCATTCAGCTCTATATCTGCTGTCAGCCAGGTATGAGGGCAAGGGGGGATGGCTGGAGAGATGGATTTAAAATATGTAACTTCCTTCTCTCTATGCTAGTCCACATGGTCTGGGTCAGGAAGCTAAGTTGTCTCTGAATTGCTATGATTAGACAATACAAATTAGTTGTCAGCAATATAAGCTTGAGGTCTAGCTGTGCTTCTCCCACCCTGGGATTTTTATTTTGCCTAATCAGGGGCTGCTCTCCCTGCTTTAATGAAGGTAGAGACACTGAGCTTTGATGCAAAGACTAGAAAGGCATGAGAAGGGACAGCCTGTTCTACTTCATGCTGCGCTGGGATTCTTAAATTTTGTTATTGACCCATCTGGTTGTTTCTTCTGTGTGTTTACACCCTGAATGAGTTAAATACATTGCCTTGAAGAATAGAAAGCTGGAGAGATAAACTGCGTGACCTACAGGTCATGTCCCAGGAGTGGAGGTGAGCAGAGTCTGCAGGCGTGAGGTGTGTGCGCCTGGCAGAGCACAGAGCCTGGCGTCGGCGTGGGGCGGTTGCTCTGGTTCCCTGCAGCTGCCAACGGAGGAGGGTCCGATGTGCAGGGTGGTGGTGGTGGTTGCACAGGGGTTTGCTAGGCAGTAGCAGGCCCCTGGGAGGCAGGTTTTAAACTGCTGAGCTTTTCAAGACTCAGGGAGGAGAGCAGGAAACAGCGTGAAGAGAACAGAGGGCAGGGCAGTGGTATGGGTGGGATGGGCAACAGCAGCCCAGTATTTCAGGTCTGTGTTTTCACGTGTCTGCTGAGTGTTGGGTCTCTGAGAGAGAGGTGGGAGTGGGGCAAGGGAGTCACTGCACCCATGTTCAATCCATTGTGTGTGCTCCCGGTGCGGTCGGTGCAGCACAGTGTGGCAGCGAGAGGCAGGTGGGCAGGGCGAGCCCCGGCCTTGCAGGGGAGCTGGGAGCCAAGGCAGGCACCTCACAAACATCAGAAGATCTAAGAGGCAGCTTGTAATGTAACAGCCCTCTGCTTGGCACGAGTCAATGGGAATGTGGCTTCATTGAGTTTGCCATCTCCCTTTTGATATAGCTTAGCTAGCTCAAGGCCCTGGTCTGATGGTCCTCACCAGTGTCAATCATCTTATCCAGATCATCCCAGGATCCCAGCTAAATACATGAAGCTCATCTTAGCTAGCAAAGTTTTTTTTAAAAAAATATAGTGATCATGCTGAGATTGGGCTTCTTGGGAGATGAAATAAGGTAGCTTACTTCATTCAACCAGTGCTGGGAAGTCTACGTTTCCTAGGGCTCTGAGCACCCAAAGTCAACAAAATGCGTTAATGCCACCACATCCAAGTGAAAAGAACTTTTCACTGCAGGGTTTTCTCCTTTGATAAACTGGTCTTGGGAGACACTGAGAAGATGGTAGCCATGTGGTTTGAAGGGAGCTTTGTAAGGGAAAGGTAATATTTCTATAACAGGAGAAGGTAGTGACTTCTTGAGTAGACACCTGTAGTAGATACCTATTCCAAGTACTAACCACCGACTTAGAAGGAATTAACTCATTGCTTTTCCCTGAAAAAGTCTATCTATTTACTCTGATTTACTTTTAGGAATTTGTGCTAGTGGTAATCAAATTTCTGTGCATTAGGTATTAGAGAATGAAATTTAATTTACAAGAAAAAAAAATACTTCTGTGAAGTGCCTACCACACTTCAAATGTTATATAGAGTGCTGTTACTAGAAATGTGATGTGGTGTGAAAATGAGGGGTAAATTTATATAACAGTGGAATTAATCATACCATCTGTTCAATCTGAAATTGCAAGATGTGTGTAGTGCATAGATAAGCATGATACAGTTTTCTGATCTGAGTACTACTGCGTATGAGCTGGGTGTCTGGGGGGGTTGTTTTGGTGTTGGCTTCTCTGGAGGGGCTGGCCGTCTTCATTTCTGTGACTCAAGAAATGGCTTTTTTTTTTTTTAGCAATCAGAAATGTTAATGTTTTTCAACAAGAATATGACCTGCTGTCAGCTCTGATATAAAATTGGTACATGTTCAACGGTAAAAATTCTGTAACAAATGTGTGAGCCAGAGCACTGGGGTGTTATTTTGTTTTGGTTTGGTTTTGGTCAAATGTCACAACTGTAATGGATTCTTATCACAGCATGGCTCCTTTCAGGCTGCAATCCTCCTTTAGGGAAAGTGTAGTTGTGTAATTACAGAAGAAAAAAAAGTGTGTTACTTACCTTGGCAGTCTCTGTCTGAGCTTGTAGCAAGAAGACTGCTATGCACTGACGATACCTATTTTCATGTTGTATTATGAAAGCATTTCGCAGGCTGAAGACTGTGGAAAAATGTAAAGAAGTGATATAAATTCCCTCATGCAGCTGTCAGTCCAACTTTATGTCACATTACTGTCTGATTATGACTGAAGAAATGATATATCCAGTCATCTTTTCTGATTCTTAATAGGGCAGTGCACCCCGATAGGGTTAGTTTTTTGTTGTGTGGGAAGCACTGTGATTTCAAAAAGTTAATTCTGCTTGCATTTGTTTTATTTTTAATTACTTTATCATTGCGCAGCTAAGGTGGTTTTCAGTCTAGGTGAGGATCATTAAGAGGAGTTTCCATTCAAAGTGGACTAAATCATAACTGAAGTTAGAGAAAAACAAATATCAAAAATTAAAGAGAGAAAGGCCCCGTTTTTGTTTCATTTCAAGCAAGTCCATACAACGGCTGCCACATAGAAAAGTGGCTGCACTCAGGCTGACGGTGGGTTTGGGTTCTCCCTGGGGCGTGTGCATGAGCTGGTGCTGCTGGCCACGATGCCCCTGGTCAGCTGCTGGCAGCAATGTCTTGCAGGGCCAGGCATGTTGCCAGCAGCACTCCGGTTCCTGACACACTTATGCAGGAGAAGGTAATCGATGATAGCAGCACCTCCTAGGTCCTGCAGTTTACTTTGAGCAACATGCAGCGGGTTTCCCTGCGAGCAGACAAATCAGTACCGACTTTGCATGTCCAGAGTGAAGGGGTGGCTTGAGTCTGCCACGAAGCAAACTTAGGGGAGGAGGAGGGGAAGGCATCTTCCAGTAGCTGAAATCCTGTGGCAGATGGCAGGCATGCTTGGGTGGGCTGGTAGTAGCAGGGAGGGGGCACAGTAACCTGTTACAATGCAATAGATCCACGTGGCATTGCTTTTTTTAGCTGGAGTTGGTGTTGCTGTAAACGAAGTGATGGTGAGTGACGTGCAGGATTGCCTCCCTGAGAGTGGTGGCCCTAAGCAGAGCCCTGCTCCCAAACCCATGCAGACCAGAGAAGAGCGTGGATCTTGAGCTACCAAGACAAGGCAGCTTTTTTTGAGTCTACTATGGCTGAGTTATCTTTTTGATAACCTTATCTAGATCATGTAGTTTCCTGTGAAGCCTTGTACTATGTAGAATATCTTGCTGCTGTGTAATGCTTCTTGTCCAAACATGTCCAAGTGCTTTACAGTAGACCTCAAAATGTTTCTGGAAGTTAAAATGTCCTTTAATCCTAATTTTATAGAAAAGGAAAGTGGAGCACAGACTGGTTAAACTGCTGCGGCAAATCAGTTAGCAGTGGAAATTTGTAGTAGCAGAGGGGGTATGTTTCAGAACTCATGCCTTCTGTCTGTCTGTGGTCAATGGGAAATACAGCTTTGCAGTCCTAAAAATGACTTTTCTGGGCAATGCTCAGCATCAGGCTCTTAGTAGTGTTCTCTAAAAGAAATTCTGTGGCTGTAAAAATTACCAGTCTTTGGCACAGCAACATACCAGTGGGTCTGGCTCCTTCAAACTTAAATGTAAAGCATTATTAGTGGAGCAATAATAGCTCATTGCAAAGATTAGATCCAGAGCAGAATGTTGAAAGGAAAGCAATTCCTAATCAGAAATTATGTTTCTGCTTACTATTGTCAGAGATGGAGTCCTACTGTTACACTTACATGTAAAGTTACATCTCTTGTACAAGGTCCTCTGCCTTTAGGGTATCTTCCTAGTGTTAAGAGTACACCACTACACCTCCTATTCCTCCACTGACACGTGGCAGGCTTTGGGCTAGAATTATTCTGCATAACTATCAGCATCCTGCTGGCTGCCAAAAGGGTATTTCTGCAATATATATTTTTTCTTAGTCCTTTTATTGAGGTATGTTTCTTTCCAAAGTGAGATCAACCCTCAGCAGACTAGTGGATGCCAAAGTGTCTGTTAGATCAAAAATCAGGGTTTAAGTTTTGATTAACATGATGGATCACTACAAGTCACTTTCTGAGAACATGCTAACTAATCTTTTACTGACACAAGTAGTAAAAGTCTCCTTGAGACTGCAAATAAATGGGCAGCATTCTCCAAGGTCACATATTTCTGAGAATATTTAATCTTTTTTTTTTTTTTTTTCTTTCCCCTGCAATGGCACATTTTCCAGTGACACCAGAAGTTTTGCTTGTTGTTCTACACAAAATGGTGGACAATAAAGCTGGTAGGAATGTGTGGGAGGGAAGTCAGGCAATGAGGTCCAGAGTGCAGGGATAAGGGCCATAACCAGCGGCTAGAGCCTGGGCTGGGATGCAGCAGGTGACTTTGTCTATTCTGCTGGTTGCATCTGGGTCACAGGGATAAGAAGAACCCTCATTAGAAATCTCGGAATGTAGCAAATTCTGGTTTGAAAAAAAGAAAAATCCCCAAATCTTATTCTCATCTCCATTGTGGCTTTTATGCCTAATGTCGTACGTGCAAACTGGAGGGTGGCTGCATCACCCTCTCCAGCACCCAGGAGCTGCCAGCCTTGCGTCTGGCCTGGGCTGGGGCAGGAAGGTGGGCTGCCCTCCTCTCTGCCCGGCACACAAGAAGTGGCTGCTGCGTTTGCTTCATTTCTGCTGTGTTGGTAGTGAGACTTGTTAGGCAGGCAAGACAGTGCCTGGAGCATGTTTTAAAAAAGGTTATTCTTCTCTGTGTTCGTCCCCTTACCTCATCTTTAGTCATTTGCCTTTTGTTGCCCACCTTTATTTCCTGTCAGCATTGATGCTGAATGCTAATTACTCTGGGTGAATATATTTCAAATTTATCATTAACTTTATGGGCTCTAGGGTTATTTTGCATATCTATTGATTTACTACAGAGCACTCTAGCTTCCTGAGCTTTTCCTCTCAGTCTTTAGGATTAGGATGCCTGGCAGGCCCTGGAGCCTGGAGGTTTGTATTTCTCTTGTTTCTCTTTGATGTAGGATGCTCCTGCAATCTGTGCAGTGTTGGACTGAGGTGTCTGAGAGCCTGTATGAGTGGCTCAGACCAAGGCGAGGCCTGATTTTCCAGACCTGCTCCCTCACTCAATCTCTGATTCAGTGAGTCCAGGGATGCTGATTTGGCAGGGTAAGGCTGATCGCTCTCTGTGGAGGTCGGTTCTCCTCCCCTCCTCACCCAAGGGCACAGCAGCAGTTATTGGAGGGGGTTTCCCCTGGCAATGTGTTTGGAAGTCTACAAGCAAGGAGGTGTTAATGTATGCTGACTGATTTCCATCCTCTCAAGAGCCAGCAGAGAGGTGAGCAGGAGGTTCTCCAGACTCCTTGAGAAGTGCTGCTGTGCGATGTGTAAGGACACCCAGGAGAGCAGTGCAGTGGGGTGCTGGGCAGTGGGACAGCTGAAAAAATGCTGCATAACTGGTGTGGAATTGAAAATGTACTGGGGAAAGAGGCTCAGAGTTTGACAGAGCGTGTTAGGACAGTTAGGGCAAGGATGTACTTGGCTTGTGAGAAAGAAGTCATTGGAGTCTTGATACCTCCTTTGGGGTAAGTGGATAATACCTGACAGTTGGTGGTGTGTACGTGGAAGTCACTGTTAGAGGCAGGGGGACGTGGGGTGTAATGTCTGTGTTAGTAGCTCACGCCTCACAGTAAGAACAGTTCTGTGAATCCGAACAGGGCTGAGGCACTGGCATTTGCACTCTGGGCATCTGGGGGTGGTTTGTGGGCCAACAGCGTCTTGTCCTTACACTGCCGCGTGCACAATGCATTGAGGTGGTATTGATGAAGGTGTTCAAGTGCACGCGGGAACGTACCTGGAACATGGACGGAGTCAACGTTTTTCAGTATCAGCCTGTCAAGTGGGATGGGCTGGTCTAGGACTGTGCAGCACCTGCCCTCTCTTATGAAGGACTGCAGCTCAGGAGAGAGGGAAGGACAGACAGGGATTAAGCCTGTGTCTGAGCCCCCGTATTTCTGGGAACAGAAAATGAAGCTGGTTATCTGTTTGTCTGCCATTTGCTCATGAATTATAGGCACTAAACAGCTCTAAATTGTGTGCTTTCTCTTATCAAGGGTACTCAGGCAGCTTATTTGCCTGAGGAACCTCAGAAAAACTCATCAGTACGTGGAGGTCTCCTGCAAGGTCACACACCTTGTGCTAAAAAAGCCACAATAGAAACACAATACAAGTCCACAGTCCGAAAACAGTCTAAGGTGTTCAAGGTTCCCCCCCCTTATTTTAATAGCAGGACTTTTTCTTCATTGCATGAAGGTGTGTTTCCCCATCCCCCCTCGAGTACATGCAGAACACAGAACTGCTGAGGCTACAGATGGGTTGCAGCCCTTCATAGAAGGTTCACCAACATGTGCATGTGGCAACACTCAAAGAGACTTGCCTGTGGGCACCAAGTCCCTTGAATTCCTGCTCCCTTCATGCTTCCCATTGCTAAGGGTGCTGCTGGTCTAGAATCTCTCATGGCATGCCTTCTCTATCTCCTACAAAAGCAGAATACCTGCTTCTTTAAAAAAAACCCCAGGAAATCTTTAAATCAGACACAAACTTCTTGAGATTTAGCACAGGTCCACTTAGCCTTAATTTACATCAGCTTCATAAACTTAATTAGCTAGATGCACTCCTGCACTGAAGCTTTAGGAATTTCAGGTCACCTGGTGCCTTCTTTGGATGGCTAAATACAGAGATTTATCATCTATAGAACTCTGCCTGTAGCATCTTTCATCAATAATAACTTTCTTAGGAAGAGTCATTATTTTAAACTACGGGAAATCAAGGCAAAGAGAGGCAACATACACAGGCTGTGTTGAAACTGAGAATAAAACCAGCTTTCCATCTGTTTTAGCATTTTCCTGTTTTTTTTCCTTTTTTATTTTTTACTTATTTCCAACAGTTCTGATATCTCTGGCATAAAAATTTCTCAGGTTGCTGGACTGAGTCGTGAGGGGAGCATTAGAAAACTTCTTGCATTCTTGAAACTTTTCTGAGCTTTAAGAATCCATCACGTCAGAACAACACTGGGAAAATATTAAAGTCTTGTAATGTAAATTCTGCCTGTCATAGTGCTCCTGCAACATACTGAGCCTACAAGCAGGGTTTTGAATCAGTGTTATGGTTTGCTGTTTGCATAAGGAAGTATCACCCATCCTTCATGCTGATTAGTCATCTTGTATTTTTATCGTTAGATCAATCTTCCAAAGTATATTCAAAATATTTACCAAGCTAAAAAACGTAACAACTGAAATCATGTATACGTCTAGCCATTATTACCTTTTTGTTACGTTTAATTTTGGTAATTAATAGGAAATCATCGAATAAGAGGAGGTAGACATCAAGGAGTCTTGTGCTTTCTGAGGAGGAAAACAAAAAAAAATCAGTTTGATGGCATGATTATTTTAAGGAATTGCTACTTCTAAGATGAGGCACATCTATGAATCACTGCATCTCACAAAATGCTTTTAACAAAGCAGCATGATTTCCAACATAATACACAACTACTCATCCCCTAGTCTGCACTCTCAAATGCAGCACTTAAAAAATCCTATGTCTCTTGATGAGTTTGGCTACGAATCCTTGTACCTTGTAGCAGCTACCTCATTATGGAAAAACAGCTACTTGCCTGCCAGAAAAAGTGATCTGTATCACCTGAAGTACCTATGAATACAACAGTCAACATATATCAGCAAATCCTACCTGGTAAACAATGAATCCTCTGAAAACGGCAGAGATAAAGAAAGAGGGAAGTGCCACCTTTTCCTGGTACCTTTAGATACTGGCATACTGCCCTCTTCACAGACTTCTGCAGCAATAAAATGTTAATTGGTAGCATCACAAAATCTTCTCAAAAACTACACAAAATAGTGTTGGCTTGTCTTTTCTTCCTAGCTCAGAGGTCATGAGGATGTGAGGAATATAGCAACAAATATCTGTGAGAGTGCTTCAAAGTCTTTCAGGTTGATCTCCAAGCCATGTTGAAAGCTCAGGTATTATGATAATAAATAATAGGGAGCAATTTAACAAAAGCAAGAGTGTTTTTAGACAACTTCCTGCAGGAAACCTGGACTTTCTACTGGATTTGTAGAGTCTGCTCCTTTGATCTCTTCCTTGTTTATGCTCCTTCTATCCCTTTCCATGAATCTTTCTTTCATTTCCCTTTTTAGTCCCAACTTGTTGTCCTGTTTCACTTCCAGAATCACCTCCTTTCTCTGCTGCAGGCTTTATCCTTTATAACCTGTCCTCTGGCTGCTCTGTACCAATAAGACATCTCTGGGCATGAAAAGCAGGCATGACCTGTGCCAGGTCTCTGGTCCAACCCGCTGCTCCAAGCAGGCTGAGCTAGAGCAAGTTATTCAGTCAAGTTTTGAATGTGTCCAAGAAAGGAGACTCTGCAACTTCTCTGGTCCCTGTACCTGTATTTGACCACCCTAATTGTCAACAAGCTTTTCCCACGATGTAATGGGGGAATACCCCGTTCTGCAACTTGCATTGTTATGACTCATCTTTTAGCTTCATCTGCCTTAAACCAGCCATTAGGCAGTTGAAGACAACCGTAATGTCTTCCCTGAGCCTTCTCTTCCTACATCTGAACAAACCCACTTGTCTCAGCTGCTCCTATTCTCAGTTACAGGATCACCAAGAAACCAGGCAATTGTGGTCTCGGTGATCTCAGTTTCATTCAAACAAGTGCAGTTCACCTTAACACCAAACTTGTGTGAGTCTGTTCAGAGTTGTGACTGTAGGACACACTTCCTTCTGTTGTGTGGCATTATATTTGATTTGTGATTACATTTTTGTCTTGAAAGATATTTCATTCAGACAAGTGGCCAGATGCCAGGCACTTTTATATTGCAGATTGCAGGCAGCTGGCTGTCTTGGTGGGTGAGAGTTATGCTCATACCTCCTTCTCCATTTTCTAATTACGTACTGCAGAAAGAAATGTGGACACCTGATGGCCACCCTTACCCCCTACATTGCAGGGCTGATGTCTCATCAAGAGGGCAACAAGTGCAGAGGTAAGCATCGGCAGGGTGGCTCTGCCTGCCACCCCCTAAACATCAGCAGCAAGCTTTTCTTCTGCTGTCTCTGATGTTGTGCCTTCTCCTCTGCTACTAGAATTCTCCTCACATGGGAATGAAATAAAAACACTGAAAAATGGACTGTGTCCCTTTCGCTGCTCCCATTATGACAGTAATAATGGTGGTGGGAGACAGAAAATGTTGTGTGCTTTTTCTCTTCACCCCTGCTCCTGAGGTGGTGAAGGAAATGTAAGACATGGGCTGTGCTCATTTCTGTCAAACCATTGCTACAGCCTGCAGCCACTGTGGCATGCAGCTTACAGCATCCTTTCAGATGCTGGTCTTTTCCAAACTGCCCAAGCTCTGCTTCCTGCTCAGGCAAGGAGGAAAGCCAAGATTCTGCAGCAGCTCCCCAGCAAGCAGCCTGGGCCCTGCTACGAAATGGTGCTTGTGTGTCTGGACATGTGAGTCTCCGCTCTGCTAAGGTGATAGACAGCTGTGAGCAGTGCTATAGAAATCAGCATGCTTGCGTGGGACCGCTGTGCTACCTGCGGAGTTAATGGCAAGTTGTATGAGTGCTCTGTTCATAAAAGGGAAGCCACCTGGCAGGATAACATCTTCTTGTTCCAAGCTAGCCATCAAAGCAGCAGTTTTGGCAGAGATGAAGTATGAAATAAAAATAGGAAAAGCCTCTGGACTTTTCAGTAATTTTCATAGTGGATGTGATGCCAGGGAGGTAAGGTATGTTGACATCAGTCTCCGGGCACATGGGGCATGTTGCTCAGGAAGGTCCTTTTGTTTTCCTATTGGCACGTTCTTGAATGTGACAGTAAAACTCTCCCTTTGAGTGGCAGGCATTGGCCAGTCAAGCTGATTTCTTGAGCACTTGGCGGACTGAACATCCAGATGTGACTATAAACAATCATACAGATTACTCATCCTTTTGGCGGTTTGGCCGTTTCTCAGTCTCTCTCTGACAAGCTCTACGTTTGCTTTTTTCTTTCCCACACTTGCCCAAATACTGTTGCAGAAGTTCATCCTGGATCTGCCATAACAAAAGGCTAACTCCTGATACTAGGACATTTAGGTACATTACCTGCTAGTGCTAGCCTCCCCTCGTGAAGGAGAAGTCTGTTCGCTGAAGAAAGAATGTTTTCACTGCTGTTTTCTCTTAAGCTTTGCTTCAAACACTTGACCCAAAAAAGAGAGAGAGAGACAATGGGTAATCTTGCACACTTGATGATGAACTGGGAAACAACCAGAAGTTAAACAAACCAAACACACATGTACTCTTATCTCAGGCTAAATACATCACACAGTAACTGAGCATCGCTTTGTTTCTTCAGCAGTGCTATTGCTTAAATGGGTTTATGCTTTTGAAATGTTAAGATGGGTTTTTTTTTCTTCTGGGGTGAGTTTAGTGGTTTTTGCAGAACAATGTGAACAGACATTATGCATGTGAACAGACCCACTTGATGATGTTACCATAATGCTGCTTAAAATCTGTCTGTATGGGTACAGGGGCAACCACAGCAGAAAGGATAGCCTGTTCCCAGGTGTTGTATGTACTTTTTTGTAGTGGTATTTGAATTAATAGAAATTTCTTTGGCTCAGCTTGAGGAGTGAAAGAGGCAAATAATTTCTACTTTGTATCCTCCTTATAAAAACGTAGTGATACTTCCATCTATCCCATTCATTCTGTCCCCTAAAAGCAAACATTGGAGAGTCCTCCTGGATCATATGATCGTACTCTCTTGGACGATAGCTGAGGGCAACCCGTGCTGCCAGCCAAAGCACTGTGCATAGCCCATGTGTTCAGCTACAGCATTTGCAGAGCTTAGGTTGCAGCTGCTCCTGTTAGAGCAGAGCCACCCACAGTAACTAGAATATAGACAAGCAGCCAACTTTAGACCACATTATAAAGACAGATAGGAAACTAATCCTTCCTCAAGGAAAAATGCCCTTTAAAAAACTGCTTACCTCTGGGACAAAGAATCTCTTGTCACGATCCCAGACTTGAAGCCAAATGATGACCTCCTGCAGCTGCCTGAACTTCTGAAAGTTGTCCAACCACTTGACTTTACCTTCCAGATCCCCTGAAATATGTGAAACATCAATTACTGTCAAGGCTGGCAAAGGCAGACCTGTTTCTAGAAGATGCTGGATACTGTTTTTTTTCCAGTGGAAGCCAAAGGGCCTCACACGTGAAGCCCCAGATGAAATCTTGGCCTCACTGTAAAAAATGACTAAACTTTTTAGGTCAGCAGAGCCACAGTTACAAGCCATGAATTCAAACAGGTTTAAATTCACTGCTAAATGCAAGGGTTTACTAACCTGACCGGGGAAGAGAGTGAATCACATAAAACTCAATTAAACTATATTCCTAGGAAGTTCCTTAAAAAAAAAAAAAAAATCCTGCTTTTCTAAACTGTTTGGGTAGTAAGAGAGAAATATTTTTCATTATATACAGCCTGATCAAAAGACTGTTGAAATTAGTAAGAATTAATTTTGGAGGAAGTGGTGTCAGAAGTGACTAAAGTATTTAACTGGGATGAGAGTGCCTCAGAATGTGAAAAATGGGGACTAAGTCTTTACTGATTCAGGGCCATTATGGGGAAAACCTTAATGGATCTGCACCCTAAGTTTTTGTGTTGAGTGATATTGCAAATAACGGTTTTGCACACACACTGTGCAGAAAGGTCTGCTCCTTGTGTGGTCATTAGGCTAGACTCCTCATAAGACTTGGCAAGGAGAGAAAGAACCCGAGTTTCTCTTTTAGGTAGTAATTCTGTCATTGGAGTATTTACCCAAGAAGAAGGAGCCCCAGATTTATCTATCTCTAGAAGACATTAACTCTCTCTCTGCCTCATCTCCCAAAGGGATGTTTGAGCCTTCAGCTTCCAGGACAGGATGGTGGCAAAGACCAAGCGACCATGCTGGGTGGCTGAAGGCCCTGGTGTGCTGCTGGTGAGGATGAAGCACTGCCTGGCACCTCTCCCTGCTAAGACTGGCAGGCTAAGTGCTTTGCTGGTGCATTGTCTTATCTTTGAATTCAGTGTGGGCTGCATGAGGCCTTTAGGGAATAAATGTATCTGCTGATGCACACTATATGACCATAAGACACTTAAAGATGCATTTATATCTTCCTGAACAAGACTAAATTAAGAAATCATTTACTTAAAACAAAATGTAGGGAGAAAAAAAATATTCTTGGACCAACCACTTCTTCTTTCACACTAGTTAGAGAAAATGTGTAGCTGAGATGATAGCTTTTCAGCTACTTTACAGGGTAGGACCCTGTCATTTAGCAAAAGGTCATTGACATAATATTCCCCTTGTGAGTGCAATTTTATCCTACTAAGGATTAGCTCCAACAAATCCTCCCTAGACATAAATCCAACTCAAAGATTTCTTTGTTTGAGATCTTTCTTGATTTGTTACACTTTGTGATCTCCTCTTAATTGTTTGCATGTCACTACAGATGATTCTGAGCAAATACAAGTGACTCACTGATTTGTGAGTCCTGTGACCTTGCTCAGAGGGGCTTTGGCAGCACAAGGGTGGCACCAATCATTTCCTACAGAATGAGGAAGGACTCAGGATTGTAGGAATTCATGCACACCTCCTCATTGCATCTCTGCAGGGAGACCAGACCCATTCACGCTCAGAGGACACCCACAAAAGGGCCAGTAACTTGCTAATTGTTAAATGCACCCTTGACTTTTAACCTTAGCTACTTACATATGGACTTTTCCACCTTCTCTTTAAGTGACCAGATAAAACCTTTCTCTGTTTCATCAGTGGTCCTCTTCCAGATGTTGTTAAGGAGGAGGGGATAGTGTGTCAGTCGATGCAAAGGAGCGACCAGCAGCTCCGGCAGATGCAGCCTCTTGCACTGTTCGTTTTGTTCACACCACTGCTGAAGACAAGTAAAAACTGACTTAGGCATCAGCTTGCTCCCTGGCAGGGAGGTAACAAAGAGTTTTCTGCATCATCAGCTGACTGTAATGAGACAGGGAATATTTAAAAATGCACTTATCACACAGTAAAGCAAGGGCAGCATAAAGTCTCTCGACAGGGGGAATCACATCGCTCCTTCAGATTCATTGCTTCCCATTTCATATGCTGTGGCTGTGCAATTGTGATCAAGCAATACTCTTATTTATTTCCCATTTCAGTTTCACCAGGAAAACATCAGTTACATCTGAGAGCCACATTGTTTTTTAGGGTCACCTGCTACTTCCCACTGGAAAGCTTTTTCTTAGGCATGAGCGCCTGAAACCCCAGTCAGGGAGTGAGTGATGTCAGTCTCCCAGGCCATGAAAGCTGCAGTGTTTGTGGCTGCTACAAAGAGGTGTCATCCCAGTCTTGGCCTGCCTGAGAGAAAAGGCCACTTCATGAGTCATAGAACCATAGAATAGTTTGAGTTGGAAGGAACCTTAAAGATTATCTAGTTCCAACCCCCCTGCCATGGGCAGGGACACCCTCCACTAGACCAGGTTGCTCAAAGCCTCATCCAGCCTGGCCTTGAACACCTCCAGGGATGGGGCATCCACAGCTTCCCTGGGCAACCTGTTCCAGTGCCTCACCACCCTCGCAGTAAAAAAATCTCATCCTAATATCTAATCTAAATCTACCCTCTTTCAGCTGAAAACCATTACCCCTCATCCTATCACTACACCCTCTGATAAAGAGTGCCTCCCCATCTTCTTCTGGTTCTCTCACCCAGCTTCTTCAGGTTTCTCTTTCTAATCATCTAATGTTTAAGATCAATTTTAAGTATTTACAGGACACAGTGGTCTGGTTATCGTAAGTCAGATAGAGCAGGGCCCTCTCTCTGGGAACCCCACTGCTGCACTGGCTGGAGTTGTCACTTCAGGCAGGAGCAGTGTCAGCAAAGACAGAATCTGCTCTAGTGCTGGAACTTTACAAACTTTACAAAGACATCACTGATAACCCTTTCCAGCCTTAGAGGGAGGTAAGTGCTCACTTACTGGTAGTGTTTTGATACCAAGTTCTACATTTGCTTTATCTATGGTGAAGCAAAACCTGTCAGAGGAGCTCAAACACTGCCATTCCAGAGGGGTTGCTTGCTGTTCTATCCAGGATGTTGCTCCTCCCTGCGGGCACATGGGTCAGCAAATACCCGTGAGTGAGGAAAGCAGCACAGCTTCCTCACCAGGGCTCAGCCAAAACCCACCTGCTCTGTCATCGTGGGCTCCCAAGACAAGTGAAAGCATTGACGTGCTCCTGGATTTCTGTTCCCCTTGTTTTGGCTTGTATCTTATAACCCTTTACTTAAGCAGAAGGAAGCCATCATACTCTTCTCCAGTTTCAAAGTTTGTGTATGTCTGTGCTGATGTGGCATAGGATAGAGGCTGGGGGCTGTTTTGTGCTCAGGGAATGTGAGCCCTGTCATCTGCTAAAGCACACAATGCCCTACATACTGTGGTCCCAACATCTAAACCAAACTGATAGGCAGGACATGTATCAAAGTAAAATACTTGAGAGAGATTTTAAAATGTGGCTTGATTCTTGTTTCTTTTTTTTTCTGTAACCATTTCACTTTGTTAAGGTGGAGGTCAGCAAGTCAAGGGATTATGTGCAAAACATCTGAATGATAGAAGATGGCAGTACATATTTTCTGCCTGCAAAAATGCAGACAGTTTCCTTTTGGCTTCCCCCTCTTGCCTCTTCTAAATTACAGGTGTCGACTTTCACATGTGCAGGGGAACATACACTCAAAAGGGTGACTTCATATCTATGATATCCTCTGCAGTTCAAAAAATCTAAATGCTATCTATGCAGTTTTGCTTCCAGTGAATTTCCTAGTCTGCTGTTAAAATCTTGTAATAAGGCAGGAAGGCTGAAGATAACAATCATAACAACAGCAGCAACAACAGCAACAACAGCAACAACAGCAACAACAATAACAACAACAACAACAAAACCATCACTTTACTTTCAGGTAGATGCTGAAATCTTCTCTCTGTTTCAGGTTTTCCAAATAGAAGACAGCAGAGGTATAATTAAGGCAATAAATCTGGTGTGTCTGGCAAAGGTCACCCTGGAAAAACTGCAGAAAAGATTTGGAAACTTTTCAAGAAAGAAAAATATCATGACAAAGGGAGAAACAATGGTTTTTGGTTTTGTAATGTGCATTTTGCCTGAGATTTCCTCACACCTAGGAAAACAGGGGAAGAGGGAAAGAAGGAGTTAAAAAAGTAAAGGGCAAGTTAAAAAGTAGTAAAAGTGCTAAAGTAGCAAAAACCCCACAACAGTACTCAAGCAACACCTAGGAGCACAGTTCTAACAGCTCTGCAGTGGTGTGAGGCGCTCTTAGATTTTGTTGTCATTAGAAATAAATGATGTGAAATTCATGTAGAAGCAGAAGATAAAACCCACGCTCTATGCAACAGCTTTACATAGCCTCATATAGTATGTCACTTCATACCCAAGTATGTTAGTTCTTAGAAATGTTGAATAACATCAATGATAAAACTCAGTTTTGAATGGGATTTTTTCTGTCTCACACAAATATTATCTGTAAGAATGCCTGAAGTCAGAGGTAATAGGGGTGAGAAGCCAAGCTGTAGCCTTCCTTTCCATTTTTAAAGTTCTTATCCTGAGGTAGGGTCTATTTTAACATTTTTCCAGAAGCTTTCTAATGGTCTGTACTGCTAGGGAAAGTTCAGGCCCATGGATTGGTTTTCTGCCTGTATTAATATTTCCAACTTTTCAGTTGTTGGGAAGTTGTGCAGAAAATATTATACGTGTGGGAGAGCCCCTGGACAGTGTTGTTCAGACAACTCCCTTGTTTACCGTGCAGATTGCCCGGAAGGGTTGCAGGGCAGCACTCGGCAGGGCAGGACAGGATAGCTGTGTCTGTGCCCCTCTCTTGCTTAGCAGACACAGGCCAAAATGCAAGAGATATTTTAATCCCATTGAGTTCTTAATTAAGCATTTAAATACACTTATGGATCTGGTCTATGGAGTAAAGGAAGGATCTATGCAATGGAGTGGAAGGACGCAGGGTGGTGGGACTGGGGTCTGGCCTCAGGGAAACTTCTTCCATAGAGGGAGAAGATCACCTCTGCCAGTGGCAAAGTCTCCTCAAGATCTGGGCTACAGTTCCGCAAGAAGGGTAAATCGTTCCACACTTTGTTCCTTTTACAGAGCACCTTGTACATGCTCACCTCAAACATGCCAATGAGTAAAATGAAAAGCATCCTATCGACAGGAGGTGCTTGAGGCTGAGATCAAACTGCCTGTGACAGATCATAGAATCATAGAATCATTAAGGTTGGAAAAGACCTCAAGGATCATCAAGTCCAACCGTCAGTCCACACCACCTAACTCACTAAACCATGTCCCTAAGCACCACATCTACACATTTCTTGAACCCCTCCAGGGATGGTGACTCCCCCACTTTCCCTGGGCAGCCTGTTCCAATGCCTGATCACCCTTTCAGTGAAGAAATTTTTTCTAATATCTAGCCTAAACCTCCCCTGGCGCAACTTGAGGCATTTTCATCTTGTCTTATCACTTGTTACTTTAGAGAAGAGGCCAGCACCCACCTCACTACAACCTCCTTTTAGGTAGTTGTAGAGAGTGATAAGGTCTCCTCTCAGCCTCCTCTTCTCTAGACTAAACAACCCCAGCTCCCTCAGCCACTCCTCATAAGACCTGTGCTCCAGACCCTTCACCATCTTCATTGCCCTCCCCCTGGACCTGCTCCAGCACCTCAATGTCCTTCTTGTGGTGAGGGGCCCAAAACTGAACATAGTATTCAAGGTGCAGCCTCACCTGTGCTGAGTACAGGGGCACAATGTCCTTGACTGACTTCATTGCTCTAAAGCACCTGCATGCCATGATAAATAGTCTGCTGCAAGGACCTGCTGAGATTAAGCAAGAATACTTCTAATTGTGTTACCTTTCTGAGTATGGAAATGAAATCCATAGGAGAGTCTGACTTGCTGACATGGTCCTTCACAATTTCAAAAAAAGTTTGCACAAAACTGAGACTTATCTAAGTAAGGAGGAGAAAGATAAATTAGCATCAGTGATCTTCTGAAATTAAGTTTAAAACAACTTTATTTCCCATCCCTGGTCTCTTCAAAGGCTCCAGGCCTAAGGGGGTGCCTATACTAATCTCCCCTAATGTTTCCAGAATCAGCTTCAGAATTACACCCAGAATGTTTTCATTAGTCAGAAGATAAATCAAATCTATACAAGTAGTCACTTTGTGATAATGCCATATGACAAAAGATTTGAAACAAGATTACAGTTATTCCATTTAGACTTTTTTTAGGGTGGCAGCTGTATTTAACATGAATTGAAAATGGAAAATGAGAATAAAAATTACAACACATGAATGGTATCTACTGGAAAACACTGTGTGACAGAGCTGTGACATTTACAGAACTCTTCATGGACTGAAGAGGATACCATCTTTCACAGCTTGAGTTTGTTCCATGCCATTGAAGGTGAGGGGAAATTTCTGTAATATGCTATAAACCCCACATATTCCTGATAAGTTAATTATATGTGTGCGTTGGATTCCAAGGGTGCCCACACTGTCAGATGTGGATGAAAGCCTGCTCCTAAGCCCCTGGTTGCCTCCTGAACACACTACTTGCACATAAGTTTATGAGCAGGCTCAGCTTTAGGCCAAGTTTTAGGCCAGAAGATAACGTCATCCTCTGTGATACTGCTATGAACTGCTGTTGTAGGTGAACACACTGCTTTGTTTCGTGTATTTATGGGGCAGGGTTGCTTGTAAGATATTTATTCTTTCATTTTGACAAGGGTGCATTTTACACCTTTTACAACATGCATTTTTTCATGGATTCAGCCTGCTGTCAAGAAGAAATGCGTGCTGTAAAATGCATGAAAAAAGGCATAAAAGGCATTGAGAGCAGCTACTTCCTACATTTTGTATACAAATATGCATAACAGATGATCATTTATCATCCTCATTAAAAAGGACAACAAAATTAGAAAACAAAATAGAAAATGTATTGAAGATAATTCTCTCAAGACATGATTAAGCTCCAGCCAAGCTCAAAGCTTTTGTAATCCCTAAGTAGCACACAGCAATACACCCCTCTCCATTCTTTGAACAAGAACCAAGGAATGGGCAACTACACGTTGACTCTAGTCGATGGTGCATGTATGGTCTTAGCCCACAACAAGCACAAGGTAAAATGCATCAGCTAAAAATATCTTGCTTTGTATCTCTAAAGCTGCTCAAGTGGTCACTCACAGCAGCTCACCTGGTGTGTGGTCAGTCGCTGAGCAAAGATGAACTCATGCATGTGTTTGAGCTCTGTCTAAATGTCCCTACCCTGAAGAGTTTTCCTGCTTTTCTTTTGGCTAAAAAGGGAGATATTAAGTGTTAAGGTAAGGGAATTATAATAAGGGAAAGAACTTGAAGTAAGCAATTGGTTTAGGGCATGCGATGAGGTTGTGAGCAGTCATTCAACTTACACAGCTGAAGAGCGCCTTGCAAAATTCACTTTGACATTAAGGCTGGGGTGTCCTCTAAAAGAGCTCTCAAGCTAAGAAAACCTTCTGTTTTGCTTCTGAAGTTATATAAAAGATAATTTAGACTTATGGGGTCCTTTGACTTTAAAGAGCTGAAAATGGTCTCCCAGCAACTGGCCACAAGCAGCAAAGAACTGAGTATATCATAGCCAAGCCTTGGGGTCCCCCTCCTCCTGGAAGCTGGAGGGTGAGTAGCACATGAACACAGAGCATCTGCATCTGCTCTGTGTGGGACATATCCTTCCACCCACATTGAGGGAAACCCTGGCTGGGGAGGAGTGGTCACTGTTTCATTTTAACTTGCTCTACTGGAGTAGCGTAACAGATAGCAAAATCTTTGTTCCCCTCTGTTTGTGAAAGGAAATGTTATTGTAGTTATTTTGCTATTCTTACTGTTTTGCTGTAAGGATTGTGCAGTCCAGAGTTTATCTTCACAAATCCTTTTAAAAGAATGCTGCTTTTGAGAATTAGCCTCAAACTCATGTTTACTTCAGAAACAAGTGCCAAATGAGCTCTCCCCGTGTTCAAATGCCTGGTTATATTTTTCTGGAGGCACGTGAGAGTAATTTGCACTGGTGAAACTTGACCCCCACTGATATACCAAATAAAAATGAAGGAAAGACTGATTATTTGAACTAAGTGCCAAATGTGAGCATTGAATCTGAACAGAAGCTTTACGGATGGTTACTCATCCCCTTTTATTGGGCTAGTTGATTTTTGGTCTCAGTAAGGCTTTTATTTTTTTACTCACCTTGTTTAACTCTTCTAAGTTGGCGAAAAGTCTCCACAAATCTACATCCAAGAGAAATTCATTACTCTGGAGATATTTTAGAGTGTTCATAAATATCTTTAAAGACAAAACAAATCCATGTTATTTACTACTTATGTCACTTCAATATATCTCATTTTTTCCTGAAAAGAACATGCTTGCACTGTAATTCTCGTGAAATGATAATTTGATTTGGGGAGGGCTGAAGACGACACTCTCAGAAACTTTTCCTGACCTGCCTGAAGGCTAAATACTGGGCTTTGTGCAAGGAGGAGGGTATGAGTAATGTCTCTGGAGTGTCTCTGCAGCTGCCACAGAAGCAGCTATGTCCCTGCTGTGCTCTCTGGCTGAACAGGGGCAACTGAGCCCCCTGCAGATCTGTGTGAAGGAACTAATAACATGAAAGATGGAGTTACAGATTTTTATGGCCTTTCTAAATGCTTTCTTTCCTACCCCATGCATCTGATGTTATGTAAGTTGTGTAGAGTTACTATGGGAAAAAATAAATGTTGGAATAGCATAAGCAGAGAGTTCATGAAGGTTTTAAATCTCTTCGGATTGTTCTGTTAACCTGTATTGAGTGAAAAGTGCATGTGTATTTCTTGGTTGTTCAAGTTTTTATATTATTTAAGCTCTGATGGTGATCTTGGAGCTTTACTGAATCTGACCTAAATCTGAAAGAGGCTTAAAAAAAATGTAGATTATGAGTAGGATTTTTTGTATATGTGTGAAAAACATTAATGAAAAAACCCATCGCCCAGGTGCTAAGACTGAAGAGCTAGTGAGAGTGTTTGCTTAGCCTTCTGTAATTATTGAGTTGCCACGAACAGTTGACCTGAGAGCTTAAAGGGGATTTACAGTGGTCTTAAACTTCCCTGTGCAAATTCATTAAAATCAGTGGAATGTTTCTACACTGGGAAGTACTTAGAGTAGCAAGTATCTGTAAAACTGGCTACCCAAATTCAATAGGTTCTTTCTTTGGCAGGAGAGTTTGGGAAGCTGGCATGAGCTGAATAGTTTATCACTCATGGGTCATGCAGGACTGGCTAAGGCTTGTCTGTGGGATCTGCATGTCCTTACCCTTCCCAGGATTCATCCATTTTTTATCTTCTCAGAAGAAAGAGTCTAGAAGGAAAGACACTTCCATCCTGCCCTGGACCTGTAGCTGGTCCTGTTGTTTTCTTTCCTCTCCCTTCCTGTTCTGCTCCACCAAGAAGGAATTCAACCTACTCCTCTATTTATTCCCTTTACTTTGCAGTACTTGTGCTGCCTAGGCTAACTTCTCAGCAACATGGAAAATATTTCACTAACCTTTTTGTTTGACTAAGGAAACAGAAATTGTCTGCGGGGGATAAGAGAATAATGATAGGAAGATATATATATTTAGGGAAGCTTCCATCCTTTTAAATGGCTACACTAACTTTTGATGTGTGATGAATGTAAATAATTCAGCTATTCTTGTAACAGTGTGTAGTATTCTTGTCCGTATTTCAAAGCTCTTAAAATTCACCAGGATGGAGGCAATTCGGAGTTTCTGTGAGAGGAGTTGCTTTTTAGTTTGTTAGTTTTCTTGTAGTGTTAGAACTGCAGGTCTGATGAATTCTGTGGTTTCCGTGCTCTAGCCAGGATAATCTAACCACAGCTCTATATGAAGTTAAACAAAGAGTATGATGTTACTGACTAGTGGGAGAGGAATATCCAGTATACTCAACTGGAGAGTGGCTTCAGTTCAGAGTTAGTGAGAGGAATAGTGAAATATAAGCTGAAATTACTGGAAGGATCTGCAATCAGATGGTGTTTACAAAGGACTAGGAAGCGATGTCCAGAGGAGGAGTTGCCATCAAGAAGATAAAAACCAAAGGGAACTGTGGAAACAGGATGAGAAGGCAAGATGGGAGAAAACTCAGCTGCTTAAGTCATTCCCCTGTAGACACCCAATGAGAGGTTACAGGTGGCTTTATGTCTGTCATGTTGATAGAAGGACAAAAAATCTTTCATTATTTTTGAGAAATGAAATCTGAAGTTACCATCTTGAGAACCAGCAAATGATCCAGAAAGTAAGTGCATTCACTTGTGAAGAGTTCCCACACCGCTACTTCTTTTCTCACTTCTAACCGGCTGTTGACATCTTTCTGCTCAGTCTGTTGCACCTTTATAAATTCATGCCAAGATTTACTCTATTGATTGAAGAAGAAAGAACACCACTGACTGTTGCATCAACTGCTTCAGACCTTATGAAAAGAATCTATAGTCTATTTGCTCATGTAAAGAGCCTAGCTGCCAGTATTGGTGATTCTTTTTCTGAAAGCTGAGAGATTCCTTTAAAAAGATTAAAACCCTGTCATTTTCCTCTAAAATACTTATAATATAAACACATTGAATTGAAAGTAACACAGTATGATAGTCTATATTTGTAGGATGCTGTATCAGAATATAGTGGGCAGCTTGCAAATGCTAAAGAATCTAATCTGTCATGCTGCTGCTACTGGAAAGCAGGGATGGATAATAGCTTCCTAGTTACCAGATGGTAAAATCAAGGTACCAAAGGATTAGGTCTTCATAAGTACTTCGATATTGTTTCATTTGGTCCTAAGGTGACCACTATCATCTTCCTGACCTGCCCCAAAGTCAGATGTTCACAGGTAAGTTAGGCACTGACAGGAGTCCTCAAAAGCCAACTCTCTGAGGAACTGCATATAACAGCCTGCTAGGAAGTTTGCTTTGGAGGAGGGCTGGTGTTAGGTGTGGGTTATCTGAACATCACCCTGGAAGCCCAGGCTTAGTGGGTAGGGGGCCCTGAAGGCCAGGAGACTTGCTTATCTGCCAGATAGGCTTTGGTGAGATTTCTGCAGCTGAACCTTGGTGTTGGCACTGACCTCTACCTGGCCACCTCTGAAAGCACTCCTAAGGCAGCAGTGGGGGTGACTGTGACCCATTTGGCATCTCTTTGATGCTGCAATTTCTTTCCCCGGATCTGCAGGCACTGTTGAGAGGGTTGTCTTGATGCCTTTTCCTGAAGGTAGTACCTCCCTGATCTAGGGAAGTCTGGAAGCCTGGCAAAATCCAGGTAGGAGTCATGGCCCTTGCTAACCACCTACGATGCTCAGTTTCCCCCTCACCCCTCCATTTCAAACAACAAAATTATACCTTATACTTATTAATTAATTTTGCAGAAAGGTCTCATATCCAGATTAGTGTAGTGAAAAATAGTAACTTGTAGAGAGCACAAAATTTTTATCCCCACATTTAAGTATCTTTGGTACAGTATACTGAGTATTTTGATACCTTAAAGCAGAAAAAATCATATGTGCTGCAGTCTATGATCTTAATGGTTGAAAGACAGTTTTCCATATCAGATGCTTGCTTCTGTTTGTCTTTACCCTGTTGAATGACAAAAAAAACCCCGATTCATATGATGTTTCGAAGACCAATAAAAAGTTTACACAGCTCAGTAACCTTGCTCTGATCTGTAAGGAGCTTGCCCTTAACTGAGTGATTTCCTCATGTTTCCAGGCTCTCCTACACAGAGATGAGGTAATGATGGCAGGTTTATTTGTAGCTATGGGTGGGGTGTGTAGGTGGCTTAGGTGTGGGTGTATAAAATCTTATTTATGTAACACAGAAGTCTTCGGCAGGGCAAATCATTGGTATGGCAACAGACAATGGGCTTCCCTCAGCAGACGGAACAAATGAAGTATTTTGCTTGCATCAGTGCTGTCAGAAGTAGGGGACAACAAACTCACAGCTGAAATAATCCTCCTGCCACAGGTATACAAAGATTGCTTTTTTATTTTTTTAATAAATTTTATTTGAGCTACATATTGAAAAATCTCCTTTGGACAGCTGCAGAGCAGTGTCTATAAAATGAGCTTTTAGAAAGCTTAAAGAGCAGGAGGAGTTTGTCTGTGTGAAGGATCATGAGATAAAACCAATTGCTTTTGGTTTGGCTTTGTTTTTCAGGCCAACAGTGCCATGTAAAAAGTTTAACCAATATTTATGAACTCTAATTTGGTGCTGTGAGCATAGACTTATAAGGTGTTTGCTTAAATTTCATCTGTTCTCTGGAACTGTACACTCATACTTCATGGATTTCCATTGTCTGAACTTTAAGCACTGAACTCAAGCCAATCTGGAAATATGTGTTTGATTATAATATTTGAAATTCAGAGTTTAAACTCAACTCTTGGTTTTGAAAGATGGCTTGAAATGGAGCAGAAACAAGAATGCAATTTATATACACAATTAACCAATGCATCAGAAAGTGAATCTCCATAAATTAAATTTAATGGCATTTAATAGTCTCAGAAATCACTTTTGGCTAAATATTAAATGCATTTTGTTGCAAATTTCAAATATTTTGCTGAATTAAAAAATTCTCCTTCAAATGATCTAGAAATGCTATCAGTTGAAGTGGGAACTCCTGTACATGCTAATCTGAGCACTTGCATTGGTTTAACTTGCACAAACTCTTCTTGGATAGCTGAGATTTAGAAGATAAAATGTAAAAAAAAAATTAGGAAGGGACTGTTCACAATTACATGTCTTGGGGTGTATAGTTATCAGGACACTTGCAAATGATTTTTTGAATGATGAAGAAGAATCAAAAAGGAAATTCAGATATCATAGCAAGTGAAAATTTTCATAACTGGAAAAGAAAAGGAAATGTGTTAGACAAGGAAATTAACTGAGGTGTTGCTGTGCATGCGTTCACTGGAGACTTTGAGGTTGCCCACAAGGACAGGAAATGCCTTAAAGAACATCTAAAAAGCTACTTGGAAAGGTAAAGCCTAGGTCCCTTCCATGTGAGCGGGAGTTAGGCAGATACTCCAGAGCACTGAGGCACTGAGGTCTAGTCTGGCATGCAGAAAATACAGGATACATTCTGGTCAAAACTACGTGACTGACTTACCCACCTTGTGCTCTGTTACCCTGGGGAGCTGCGCTGGACCTGCTGCCACCCCTGAATGCCTCAAATGATAGCTGCCACCTTGCCCACCCTGCTCTGCCTTCCCAGTGCCAAGGGCACGTCTCCTCCCACCAGTCACGGGGATGGGGACCAGCGGCCATACATCATGTGCAGCGGCACTGGTGGCTGCCCTCAAGCTGCCCTACCTTCACTGCAGATTAATGTCCAAGACCGCGCAGTATGGGCTGAGACCTCTGAGTTCAGCTCACTTGCTGCCTGGTTTTCTTTTTTTACCCGGGTTAGTTGTGGGAGAAGGCAAGGTCAGTGTAAGGAAAAAAAATGTGGTGAAATACTCACAACTCCTCTTTTGGCAAATGGCCACCTTGGCTTTTTGGGCTCTAATGAGTAAAACAAATGTGTTATCAGTAAAGAAACAAATAGGCAAAAATAAAACTTTTTTTTTTTTTTTTTTTTTTTACAGATGAAGCCTGATATACTATACTCCACTTGGCTCAGCTTTAATACCTGTATTTAGCCAGTTTGTGCACCAGACTTAAAGCCTATTAAGCCTGTTAAGTTCCTCCCAGCAAGAATTGTCTACCTATGATGGGATCTTGGATGATGCTAAACACTCCCACTTGCTGCAGATGATCAGTATGTGATTGCCAATTCTTTACGTGGGAAAACAGATCATACCTCAGGCCAATTCTTGAAGATATCCATTGTTTTGAAGCAAGAATTAAGCTACATCTGCTCATTAGTGATATCTTGGAGCTATGCAGGTATTTTAAACTCCCATGAATAAACAATCCTACAAACCCTAAGCCTCAGATCTGTCATGGGGCTGGCACAGTTCTGCAAGCTGTAATTCATGGTCCTTAGTGAGACACGGGGAAAGCTGAGGATCTAGATGTAGGAATGCACTGGGGAGAGGTAGGAATGCCTGTGTTTGTTCAGCAAGAAATTTGAACTAGTTTTCTGAATGTGGCACCTACCTTCAGGCCTGTGTGTGACTGGGAATAAGTGGAAATTTCAGCTTTTGGATTTTGAAGGCCTTGGGTCATTCTTTCTGGGGAAGGCTGGTTTGTTTGCTTTAATGAAACTGCTGATTGTGACCTTGACTTATTTATTTTTTGAGAAAATTTTGATCACCAGCGTCTTCTGGTCTCTGGCAATCACAGTGCACACTATACTATACTCCACAATAGATACTTGTGAAAACTGCTTGCAAGTCTACATTTCAGTGTTGAAAGGTCTTGTGAGCAACCTCTAGCCATGAGTTGGGTCTGCTGCCTTTGTGATTGGAGCAGTACTGGAAAGGGTCGCATGGGCCACTCTCTTCCCTCTGCTTGAATCTGTGCAAGTAGGAATTTGTAACTCAACTGCTTGCAGATGGAGATCCTGGCCTGGGCACTAATTGCTCCTAGCCTGTGGAGGAGGGAGCTTATCTGTGTCCTGCTCTTCTCAGCTACCTCTTATGTGTTGCATTCAACAACAAAATGCAGGCAAAAAAAAAAAAATGGGGGGGAATTTTAAAATTAGTGATGCAGTTGATGTGGTGTGGGGTAACAGAATCCCCCATGGAGGCAGCACTGCCTCGCGTGTCATTGTTGTGCTGATCCCCCCTCCCCATCACCCCCCACCAGGTGTTTTAGTCGTGGCTTTTGCTGAGCTCAGATAAGAAAACCCCACCCTGTGTCTGACCTGCGCTTAGCAGCAGGGCGGCATGGGACAGGTAGTCCATGGCACTGTCGGACACCAGGAGGTCTCCAGGGAACACCTTCAGTCCCGGCAGACTCACTACCACGGAGCTACGCCTGTGCTCTGCTGATCTGTGAGACGCAACAACAGAACACATCATCTTTCTCTGCTCAGGGCTGCAGAGGAAACTTCTGAAGTCCTCCTTTCTGACAGGGGAGGAAGTGAACTAGAAAAACCAACTCACACAGGCTATGGCATAATGTGTTAAAAGAACAATGAGCAGAAAATTTTGGTGATTGACAGCAAATGTCTATTTTTCCAGCTCCACATTGTTGCTGAGATCAAGGTGCTTATGGCTGTGACTTGCCTCAGATAACAGGTACTTAGAGAATTTAAATATTGGAAATTCTTTGTTTTTTCTGAGATTAGGCAAAAAGTGAGTGGAAATTAAAGGAGCAGTTAAAGATTTTGTCCCTAGCTCATATGTGGGTTGTCGTTACTTTTAACCTTCATATAACTCAGGTGATGTCAAGAAAAGACAGCATACTAATGAAACCGTTAAAATGTTGAGGTAGATTTTTTTTTTTTTTTTAAATATTTAACCTTTTGACTAGTTTGTGTTATTTTCTTTCTAAAACTTTCTGGTGATTTTTCTGCTAATTCAAATATTTTGTATTTTGAATATAGTATGACTTAGCAGCCCCACTGATTGAAAACAAATGGCTCTTTCCAACTATTGTTGTTACTAACGGAGGGCATTGTCCAGGATGTAGATCCATCAAGTGAAGTGACACAGTCATTCTGTATCCAACAGTGTGTTTGCGCCAGAGGCTGCTTGCATTCAAATACAGAAATTATTGGTGCATATCAAAAACTTTTTTTTTGGATTTTGCTAATAGCTCACATCAATGCCTAATGCAAAGTGATGGTATCTGTAGCTTCTGTTCTGCTCTTTTTAACTGATCGATCCATGAAGACTGCATCAGATTTCGAGGGAAGGGACATGAAGTATTTGTGCAAATATAAAATTCTCTTTTTTAGTCACCATTTATTGTGTAAGGTATTTTTGGTCAGTTAAGTATAATTCTTACTACTTTTTTGCCTAGGCAGATACCTTACTGTGAATATTTAGCCATTTGCCATCACCTGATATGAAACCTGGCAGGTATGTTTTTCCCTTTAAGTGCATGAATTAGTCACTTGACAACTCATCAACTGGCAGATGAACCTGAGGTACAGAACTGGAATTTAATATATAGCAGGACATGGAAGTTATGCTTTTTGGTATGATCTCACAGTGACATTGCTTGCAGTTGCCTTAGCTAAACCAAGTGAATTGTATAGATGAAAACAAAGACTGTTCCTAACAACAGAGAGGGCTGTAGGCTATTGAGAGAGCCAGGTCTGGGACTTTAACACTTGAAACATGGGCATATTACTGCTTGAATACTAAGTGTTGAGGAGTTTACAATGTGCAACATATGAGTCCTCTAAAGGCTTTTCCTTTGCTTGTAGTCCTACTGAATGGGGAATACAGGATCTGTTTATTTAACTTTAAGGATTTACAATGAAACCCTGAGTTTTCCCATGAAATTGAACCTAACACATGGTTTGAGAGCTTTTATGGATGGGGTCTGTTTCTTGGCTGTCTGCAAGCCCACACCAGTGCAAAGGAGTGTTTCCTGATGAGGTGTGCTGAGTGCTATCCAGTGCAAATTTCAAGTGTTGGTAACAATTGTATTAAAATACTTCTGAAACCTCTAGTGATTCCACCATGCAATCTCATGGGCAGCTGGGTCATTATACAAGTCAGATAATTCTAAAAGTTATTACTCTTGTACTGGAAAATTCAGGAGATTTATTTCAGGTTGGATTCACAGTAAAATTTTGCCAGTGGATTGTTGATTTTTAAAGCATCTAGCCTAGTTCAAGTGCAGAAATATATATTTTGAAGTTGGAAGCTAGTCACTTATGAAGATTAGTAATGGGAAGCACAGTTTCATTCTGACTGAGTTAAATGGTGTTATTTCCCTAGATGAAAAAGGCCTTGAACTTCAGAGACACATATGTCTAAACAAGCTCTTCACATATGTATGCAAGCCTGTAGAGTGTGGGAGCATGCCAAGGTCAGTTGAATGTGTAGCTACAATATACCGTTGCAATCTGACATGCCTGCTCTGATTAATGATTTACATGCCTAGATTATGTACTCGCGCTTCACGGATGAAGGCGTAGGTATCTGTGGTGACCTGGCCTGATGCCTGCAGACATATTAGATACATTAGATGCTTTTGTTGGTTTTACTGGAGAAATTAAACTACTGAAGTGCTGTGTGATGCAATTTATCAGTTTTTGAGTCTGTAGGCAATATTTTGCTGTCTTTTCATGCCTGCAGACTCTGTAGCTTTGCCTTTTTCTTTAGTTTTCTGTTTTTGTTATTAGAGGCAGGGGGCTGAAGTGCTTGAGTGAAAGGAACGTTTGTACTTTAGGGATGAACTCAAGCACCTGAAGAGATATCATCTGCAATAATTCCTCCTTTAAATCTGCTTGTTTTGTGAAAAAGGATAATGTCACAGGTTTGCATTACAAAGGTATGGAAAATTATTAGATACACTGAAGCAGCTCACAGTCTGGAAAATTAAATGTCCTGGGTATACAGCTGTTTCTAGGGTATGGAGAGCTCCATCTGATTGCTTTCTAGACATTTGTATCTTGATATATTAATAATCTTAACCTAACCAGACCTTTTAGATGTCCCAGGGAACAGACATCCATATAAATCACCTTACTTAAAGTACAGATATGTTATTTAAAGGAATACCTACTAGATGAGAATAAAAACAACTGAAGAGGTTACAAGATTGAACATTGTAGGGTGGTAACAGTACTGAAATAGCTACCAGGTGATGACACTGTTGCCCAAGCCGCTCAGGAAGGCCATTTGGACTCCCTGATTCAGAGTTAGCATGACACTTTAGGGACATATGAGTCATTAAAAGAGGAAGAGGAGCATTTCAATGAGTTGAGGGAGCTGAGCTCATCTGTATTGAAAATGAGCTGTCTTGGTGGTTACCGAGAGGATACTTCATTATCTGGTTGTCTTTAGGAAATAGTGCAATCCAGTTTTGTACCTAGTGTCTGATATGCTGAGTGGGGCAAGGAGAAAATGAGCTTAGAGTAAACTAAAGATTTTGCTTTATCAGCGTTTCCTTCTACAGTAGTGTTGGCTTTAGCGTGTCCAGCACACACACCTCTCTCTGTGTTGCCTGTCTTGTCCTGTTTGTTTATTTGTTTTGGCTGATTATTTTTAATCAGAATCAGTTCAGCATGTTGCCATGCCCACAGAGATGTACTGGAATTCCTGACTGAGGGCTGTGTGGGGGAAGGTTGTTTAAAATAAGCACTGCTGCTTTAAAAAAGCCTTTCAAAAATACAGTCTGGGAGTGGGGAGAAGAAATGTCCATTAAAACTGAAGGATGTAGGCATGTTTTTACTGTGGATGATATGTAAGTCAGTCTTGGAGGAGAGTTGCCAGCTGTCCCAATGTGCTTCTAGATTGAGAGAATAAGCTGACATTTCAGCAGTTTTCTCTGGCTGTGATAAGAAGGGATTAGCTGTTAAGGAGTTAGACTAATGATTTGGAAAAAGGAGGAGCTGAATACAGCCCTTGCCCAGACATTGGACGAAATTCAACCTGGCAAAACCATTTAAAACAGAAACTGGTGATTTTTGTTTTACATTTCGGCACATTCTAATATTGATCAGGACAGGAAATAAAATAATAATACATCATCCAAACATCATTTTCTCAGTTTTTCCTGCTGGTGGCCATAGAACAAAATGTGCATTGTTCCCTGTGTGATTTCTTGAGCTTAAAAATCTGTCTGGATACAAGTCCAGAGCCAATATCCTAGCTGGCATATAGTGGCTTCCTTGTGAAGCTGCCAGGCAAGTGGCACCAAGAGAAGGTGTGTGCATTACAAGTTCAATGTTCTCCTGTTCAGCTATTTGCATTCAGTTTTCTTCAAATTCTCTCCTGAAGTTTGCTACAGAGCACACAAATGTTCACCCTGTAAGTGAGATATTTGTACGTATTACAGTTTTGAGTTGGCTCGGTGCAGGCTCTTCCCATAATAGGTGCAGATCACCTGTTCTCATACCGAGATGCAAAGATCTTTCCCTTCTCTCTTCTCTCCATCTCCCTCTCCCATTTTCTACTGTAAATTCAAAATGCTAAAGAGTGGGCTGGAAATTGCAACAATTCGGAGAATCTAGGAGGCCTCTTTTACAGTGAACATGTGATTTCAGGCACACACACACATCTGTTAAGCCTTGTCTAGGGAACTGAATTGTATTAATGACTCATAGACTGTATCAGCCTGCTCCAACACACCCAGTCCCAGACACAGACCTGTTTACAAACTGCTGGTTATAACAGAGCTTTTACCTGAAAAATGAATAGACACTGGGAAGATGGGGAGATACAGCTCAACTGATCATGTCTACTGCCTTAACAAGTGAAACACGTTATGGTAGAGTCACAGCAGCAGTGTATTGCTGTTTGTCGTGAGGCTGCTTCTGTCTTCCCCAAGCCTTGCTCATCAGTGCTAATGGTTTTAGTACACCTTCCTCACTTGCATGACCCACCTGAAATCTTCAAGGGGATCACGCAATAAAGCAATCACTGCACCATCAGTGAGAGAGCTATGGTTATTAAGGGGAGGTACTAGCTCCTTCTTCCTGTTTGTTCAGGAAGATAATAAACTTCATTTCCCTGCTGTAAACATTTGAACATCTTAAGGAAACAAATATGTCTGAATCAGACTCATTTCTAATCAAGCTTTTACTTTCTGATAATTGCTTGTGAGAACTTGATGCAATTCACTGCAGAGATCTACAGTACATGACATCATATCTTGCCTGCATGAATTTATAAAATTCAAGTGCTCTTTGTAGGATTAATGATCCCCCATCCAGTAGCAGTCCTAGATCTGCTTTGCTGATGTATGAGAACAATATTGAGCTGTTCTGCTTGGTTCTTTGCTCCCTTTCCCCTCCCACAAAGTTTTGGAGAATGTCACTCAAGATTATGAGATGTTTCACATTCTTCAAGCTGAAATTTGACACTGCTAATCCAAACAGCCAGACCTTTTGGCAGTTAGTTCCTAGTTCAGAGCTCTCCGATGGTCCAGCTGAAATACTGCATGAAATACAGCTGAACGTGCCAGGGAGAGGGCCACCTTTGAAAGAAAATCTCATTAGAAAGTTTAGTTTAACAAGCTGGTGACAGGCATTTCACAGAGCAAATCTGCAAATTACAGTTGAATTACACATACATGCCTCACTGTTCAGTTTTGTCTTAGAGTGAAGCGGATTCATTAAAAATGTAGAAAAATGAAGCTTAGAATAGGATAGAACAAATATATGCATACCTTTGTATAGGTGGTCCATTCTTCTGAAAGAAAGTGAGATATTCTTGTTACTTGGTCAGAAAGTAAGCAAGCAATCTGATGTTGTGAAAAAAGTACTCATTTGTTAAGAGAAATGTACTATGCAGATTTAGATGTTGACTAATTATTTTACCTGTTGTGAAGAAAAGAGAACTCATTTGATATCTGGAATGTTTTCTATATTTGAAGGGGAGCAAAAATAGCTTTTGACCTGTGGCACAATACTAAGTGGTTAGTAGAGAGCTACACACCTATTTGACACCATCCACGTTCAGTGAAATGTAGGGGTTTTGCATAAGGATGGAGTCAAGAATGTGTCTGAATTTAACTACTTCAGACTTAACTGCTTGAGCAAGTAATGCAAGGTCTTTGACAGTAGATCTAGTAGCAAACCTGGCATATGCAGTGCCTCTCCTTCCCTCCTTGGGGTCAAGTTCTGGGGCATAGCTGAATGGTATTTTGCTGCCAGGGAAAGATGGAGTCCTAGCTCCTCCCTTGCTTACTTCTCTTTACTGACGCTGGTACTCACTGGACCAGTGTTTATTTTTATCAGAAAAGACTGCATAATTGCCTGCTCATTTATGTTGGGGTTAGTAATGTTATTCAGTAAAACAGAATAGAGAACTGCCCTGGCTTAAGAAGAACCTTGCTGTAGGACCTTGCAAAGAAAATAATCTTCTCTAACCCCAACCAGAACTCTATAAATTACTTATTCTTGTTCTTTCATAGCCCCACAAAAAGTTATACTGGCCCACCAGGTGAA